CGAGCAGATAAGCGTATAATGACGGTCACGAGCTCTAACCTTCGGTTCGCCAAGCTGGCCTGTCGCCGGATTTGAGTTTAGGTTATCGTGTCGCCGAGGCGCTTGAGGTTCTCGGAGTGGAGGTGGCGTCGGGGAGGCCGATTCGGTACACTCGAACACGGTCTCGGATCGGTGAGATGAAAGTTCGTCAATCTCGATGCCGACTCTTTCGACGCATGCGTAGAGCTGGTCCTCTCTGGGGAAAGTTTGCCAAGCAGGCGATGCCAGCTGCTCTAACGTACGGTGTGGGTGTGCATGGGGCCCCCCCGTCTCTTGCCCATGCTATGCGTCGTGCCCTTTGGGGGCGCATGGTACGAACCTGGGAAGCAGGGCTCGGCATGGATATCAACGTATCTCCAGGGGTCAGGCACTCAAGATCCTCAGGTCTCGGCGTCGTCAGATCCCATGTTTCAGTGGGCCCTTCTCTGTTGGGATGTTACGCTCCATGATGTTCTCAAACGGGCTTGGGCTAGGCAGGTTGAACTGATTTATCGCGCATCAAAGCCGTGGAGCCACGCATCGGGCCCCTGTGGGGCCGTGTTGCTCGCCTTGCGTGATCTGGGATGGGTGTCTCGGTCAGCTTTCGAGTGGAAAACCGACCTGGGCGACGGCGGCGATCTTCGAACATGGCCACCTCGATCCGTGCGCGATTTGGCCCGAGAAGCTGCTGAGCGGCGGCTTGGGCTTGATTGGTCTCGGCGCCCCGACCGAGGTCACGGCGCCGAATTTGATCAGAAGTCTCTGGCTGGCACCTGTTGCGAGTGCGCTTGGTCGGACGCTGGAGGAAGAGAACCCTGATAAACATTACGTTCTAACGCAGCAAGAAGTGGCGACGCTACGAGCGGTGGTGACTGGGGGCCTTTGGCAACCAGCCAGAAGAGTGAATCATGGCTGTTCTGACTCGGCTGAATGCCCAAGCTGCTCAACGCCGCATGCTGATCTTTTCCACATACCATGGGTTTGCGATCCAACTGAGGATGGACGCAGACAGGTGTCTCGTGCTGCTGATGAGCAAGGCTGTCTTCCAGATGTTTCTTCCACTTCGCGGTTCTGGACTCGAGGGTTGCTTGCGAAATCGGCCTTGCCACCGCCGCCCCAACGTGACGACAGTGAAGTTTGGCGGGTACTATATGGAGATGCTAGCGTCGTATATGGAGATGTGTTCTCGGACGGCGCATGCCGTAAGTATTTGTACTGGCCTGAGGCCTCGCGGGCTGGTTGGGGATTCGCGCAGATTCGGCCCAATCTGATCGACCTGGTGGCGTGCGGACCGCTGCCTGGACCGATTCAGACGTCGCCGAGGGCGGAGTTGTACGCTGTAGCTCAGATACTTCGAGTAGCGATGCTGCCACTCCGAGTTTTGACTGATTAGTTTGACTTACCTCAGGGTCTGGCACGAGGGCAAGTCTGGGGTTGCAGTCCGAGGAGGCCCAACGCTGACCTGTGGCGTGAAATATTGCGGCGTGTTGATGATCTCGGAGGACTTTCAGAACCCCTGCAAATTGTTCATATTCCTGGGCACCAGAAGGGGTCAGGGATACGAAGCGAGGGGGAACAGGTGGGCCGACTACGCGGCCTGTCAGGGCCGAGACATGCACGCAGTGACCAGTGAGGCAGCTAAGCGTGTTAAGACCCTTGTTTCTTTCCGTCGGGAAAGGTTTGAGTTGGCTCGCCAAGGCCCATACTAGTTTTATGGGGACCAATGCCGTTCCAGGTGAAACGCGTTTCCAGGAGCGTCGCAGGGCTCGGGCCAATGCTAAAGTTACGAAGTCTGCGGACGTCAATATGGTTCACATTTTTTTCCCGTCAGTTAGACGCTGGCGGTGCCCACTTTGTTCTAAGTATGTTGTGACCTCCAAGCAGCGCAATATATTCGCGAGTCGCAGCTGTCCTGCGAAGATTTCTTTGCGTGATCGCGTTCGGGCCTCCGTGGGCCTTGTTTCTGAAGCCCTTGGTAGTGACACGGTCGCCCCCTCGGAACCTCTCGAGGCAACGGTTGAGCGCGCTGCTCGCCCTAAGTCGCCCACGCCAGTCAGAGACACACGGGGGGTTAGAGCGAGGCCGCAGGCCGAACCTGCACCAGGTGGTCGTGAGCCGCATGTGTCGTCGCAGCAACGTGCTGGCGAGGTTCAGGCCAGTCTCGGGAGGAGGGCGTGGATTTTTCGTCGCCGTCGTGGTCGGGGGATGGGGGGATTGCTGGCTCCTTGGATGGGTCCACAGGTTCCGTACCGTCACTTGCACAGGTGCTCGGGAGTGTGCACGAGCGACTGGCCGCTGCCAGGAATCGCCCTAGGTCCCCCTCCCCGCCTCCGAGGATGGTGCGAGCCAGGATCGAGGGCCCTGTGCCCCCACTCAGGAGCGTTAGTTTTGATTTGCCCCGCGTGGACATGCTCGGCCAGGCCGTGCGTGACTTTCAGGCGGGGTCCGCTGCCGCCGCTGCTGCTGCCCCCCCTCCCCAGCCGCCCAGTGCTCGGAGGCCGCTGGGGAGGAAACCGCCAATTAAGTCTCGGCGTCTGGGGGGAATTGGGAGGGGGCCCGCCTCCAACCCCTCCTCCCGTCCTGCTCGTCCCCTGCCCCAGCCTGGTGATATTCCCCCTGGCGCGGCGAGAGGGCATGAGCTTTTCGTGGCCCCCGGATCGGTGGTCATTTGTATGACTTGCGGTGGGATTTATACTGGCAGAGCCTCCTCCCTGGTCTCGCATTGCCCGCCCCCACCTTGTTCCAATCGAGCTCTGTCTCACATGTTCCGTTTCAGCAATAATCGGCACCCTGCCGATCAGAGACGGCGCGAATCCATATCGGGTCAGAGGCACAGTCGATGATCCTGAGGTTCACCGGTTGAACCTTTAACTCGTTGTCGGGTCTCCCAATAAGAGTTCGCCAAAGTTTCTCGCGTGCTCTCTTTGTCTGCGGCTCTCCCCGCCGAGATCCACTTGGTGGGCAAATGGGGTGAGCTCCCTTGCAGGCTTCGGGGGATGTCCTTGGTCGCCCCCCCTCTGTCAGTGGCCGTTGGCGCTCTGCGCGACGGATCCCCTTCAGGCCGCGTGCTCCTAGCATAATGTTGTGTCAGATTTATTAATGTGGCCGTTTGGGCCACCTAGTAGGGGTTAGGACACAACCTCTGTGCACCCGCGGGGCCGATAAGTTTCAAATGACACACAAACAATGTCGTGACCCCGCAAGGAGCCCCACCAAAGGCCTCCGTGGCTGTGACCACGTGCGCCCGCGACACCCAGCACAGCGCTTGGTGGCCCCATAGGGAGCCAGCCCTTTGAAAACCCCATTGGCTGTGACCACATGCGTCCGCGCAACCCAGTACACCGCCTCGCGCATCCCCCCATAGGGAACCCAATCGAAGGCCCCATGTAGCTGTGACCACATGCGCCCGCGCCACCCAGCACAGCGCTTCGTGGCCCCATCGGGGGATCCACCGAAAGGCCCAGGGGCTATGACCACAGGCGCCGGCGCCACCCAGAACCGCGCTTCGTGGTGCCATAGGGACCCCCACCGAAGGCCTCCGTGGTTGTGACCACGTGCGCCCGCGACACCCAGCACAGCTTTTTGTGGCCCCGTAGGGAGCTCCACCGAACGCCCCATTGGCTGTGACCCCATGTGCCCGCGCTTCCCAATACAGCGCTTCGCGGCCCCATAGGGAGCTCCACCGAAGCCCCGAGTGGTTGTGGCCACATGCGCCTGCACCACCCAACATAGCGCTTCATGGCCACATAGGGAGCTCCACCGAAAGCCTCAGTGGCTGTGATCACATGCGCCCGCGCCACCCAGTACCGCGGTTCGTTGTCCCATAGGGAGCTCTTTGAAACCCCAGTGGTTGTGACCACATGGGCCCGCGTCACTCAGTACAGCGCTTCGTGGCAGCATAGGGACCTCCACCGAAGGTTCCAGTGGCCGTGACCACATGCGTCTTCCCCACCCAGCACACCGCTTCGTGAGCTCATAGGGATACCCACCGAAGGCCCCAGTGGCTGTGACCACATGCGTCCGCGCCACGAGTACCGCGTTTCATGAGTTCATAGGCAGCTCCGCCGCAGGCCATTGTGGCTGTGACCACATGCGTCCGCGCTACCCCATACACCGCTTCGTGGCCCCATAGGGAGTTCCACCCATGGGTCCAGTGGCTGTGACCACATGCGCCATCGTCGCCCAGTACAGCGCTTCGCGGCGCCATAAGGACCTCCACAGAAGGTCCTTGTGGCTGTAATCGCATGCGCCCACGCCACCCAATACAGCGCTTCGTGGCCCCATCAGGAGCATCACCGGATGCCCCAGTGGTTGTGACCACATGCGTCTTCCCCGCCCACTTCGGCACAGTTCTCGCGCCTCTTGCGGCCTGCCCATGCGGAGCTCCACCGAAGGCCTTGGCAACGGTGTCCACATGCGCTTCCCTCCAATGTGGGCATACAGTCAGGGCGCTGAAGAAGGAACCCTTTTCGTCGGGGAGGGGCTCGGTGTTCCTTGATTGCTTTGCAGTTTGGCTTGGGTTTTCCTGAGGTTTTCGATGGGACATCGAAGCTTAACTTTTGGGATCAAAGGGCCTCGTTCCTTATTTAAGGTTCCTTAGGTCAACGCCCCGACTGTACCCCTCACATCCTGCCTCACGGCATGCACAGTGGCATATGGCGCTGTCTTTCGCCAGGATCATTCAAGAGGGGGGGGGCCTTGGTTTCTGACCCCCCTTGCAACATCTTGTCGGGCCGGCGACAGTGGATCTCGCTCCCTCTCATGTTGTTGGAGTTTCTGTTGGTTTGCACGGAATGTTCCTAGAACATTTGTAGCTCGGATTGTCTTGTTTCTGTGCGCCGGCGTTACGTTACAGAGCATTGTTTTTTGCTATTCGAACGTCTTGTCGTTCCAGGAACATGTGATGGTAGGCCTACAGGAATGCCGCGAAGGTCCGTCCTTGCTTAACCCTCTGAGTCCCCCCCCGTCTCGCCGCTGAGCAGGGGATGACGCACCTCGTGACGCCGCCGGCCACGCCGACCGCACAGCGCAGCACCGCGCTCCACGTCGAACCCGAAACTGGCCACCCAAAGGCATTCGGGCAGTCGGGCGTTGCGCAATTGGGGGGGCGATAGATGAGGCGTTATAAGAAGGGCCTCGCAACCGAGGGTCGAAGGAGTTGACATATCTTCCTTGGCGGAAGGCGGCCGATGTACAACGAGGCTACCTTCGCAAGCGGAAGGCCGGTGGAAGCTGGCGGAAATGGAACTCGGTCTCCCAAGAGATCCCTTCATGTTGGGGCGATAAATCAGAGTGAGGGGGCCGAGCGGTCATTCACTATCCCTGGGTCAGTGGCTGAAGTGGGAAACCGCGTCGCGGATTATTGTTGTTGTTGATGTTGTTGTTGCTGTAGTTGTTCAGTGTTTCACTTCTGAAGTGTTCGTATTGCTGATTTCCCCTCCGGTAACCATAATATTTATCCTGTTGAAGGGCCCTCCCGGGGCTCGCACCCTGTTTTTTTTATCAAGGAAAGTCTTGAGCCTCAAACTGGGCGGCAGGCCCCCGAGTTACAACAACAACGGCTCCCGCCTGATACTCCGCACAATGTCTTCCAAAATCGCGTTTTTGCGCAAGACTTACACAATGTATGCAGACATCGCGCTCTCGCGTGGGATTTCTTCGCAATTGATTCAGACGCCGCGCCCTCGACACTCAAGAGTCATGTTCTAATTTTGGCTTATCTCACGATGTACTTGGAAAGTCGCGCTAGCGCTCGAGACTTCTTCGCGATTCATGCAGGACGCACGCTTCAGCAACCCACCTGCTCGACCTGGCCGCCGGGGCCCGGCTTCCCCGACCCGCTGCTCTCTCTCCCCTGCTCCATCCTCTTCCCTCCCCAGTGTCCCTTTCTGCCATTTCCATCCGTCCTCTCCTCCTCTGACGTAGGCGCTGCTTGAACTACACGTTGCAAGTAAGAAAGTTCTACCCAAAGGGGGCACGATCGAATAAGAAGAGGGCGGGTATCGAGGGTTTGGCATATACGTGTCGAATGGCACGCGAGTAGATAAGAGCGAACCGTCTTATAATGATAGTTGTTGTTGTTGGTATTGCGTTGCTTTGCGTCGCTTTGCGTTGCGTTGCGTTGCGTTGCTGTTGTCGTCGTCCCCCAGCGACTCGGCCCGCGACCCATCCGCGACCCACCCACGACGAACCCCGCAAATCATTTTAAAAGAACCCCGCGATCCACCCGCGACCCACCCGCGACACACCCGCGACCCACCCGCGACCCACCCCGCGACCCGTTCGCGACCCACCCGCAGCCCACCCGCGACCCACCCGCGAGCTCCCTTCGACCCGGCCCGCGACACACCCGTTACCCACCAGCGACCCACCCGTGACTCACCCACATTGCTTTTACGAAGAAATCGGCGCATGCGGCGGGCTCATTGTGTAATTTCTGAAATTTCGGCGCCTGCGGCGGGCTTCTTCGGAGCTTCGCAGACTGCTGACGTCCCCGCCGCCCCTTCACTCTTTGCGCAACTGCGGTGTGCTATGTGTTGGAGGCCAATGTCTATCTGCTTCCAGAATGTCCATACTAAAGGCCTTTGCCAAGTACCGCTGCGTTTCTTAGCCACAAGAGTCGACGATAGACACATTGGCTGTCGTTACGTATGTGGGCACTTGGGACGGATATGTCTATAGACAACGCGGCCGTTGCGTTCGGCGCAGTACAAGGTAGGGGAAGGGGTAGGTGCGCCTTGGGTGTGTTCCTGTTTCAGGGCAGGTCCCGAGTGGTACTCCAATGTGCAGGTGGGGGGTGAAGGAAGGCGCACCTTCTGTGCACCATGGGGGCCCTGGAGGGGCCCCATGGGGCCCAAACGGGGCACGAACTGTGCACGTTTCCCCACCCCCCCTCCTCCCCCGTTCGTCGCCCCCCCCATGGAAAAATGCCCAAGGCATGTGCCGTCCCGTCCCTGGCGGGGCTGCCCACCATGGACGAGCTGCCCGGGCTCCTGGCCCACCACTGCCCGCACGCGCGCGAGGCCTCCGACGACGACCCGGGCCCTCAGGACTGGACAACCGACTCCGGGGACACCGCCGCGGCCCGGAGTTTCGAGCCCGACGTGTCGCCGCTGAGCCTGGCGGAGGAGGTCGACGCCAGGATCCAGGAGGCCGCATCCAGCGTGCAGGCCTTCGCGGACAGCGGTCTGGATCTGGTCAGGACGCTGCAGGAGGCGCCGCGCAACCAGGGGCGCGTGGACCTGATGCGCGTCGTCTCCACGGGCCACTTCGTGGCCGTCAAGCGCATGCCCAACAGCTGGGTTCGGAGCGGCCCGGAGGAGTTCGCCCGGCACTCGGGCGGCTCCCTGGAGCTGCCGTGGTTCGACATCGGCCTCACCGGGTACCTCCATAGGCAGGGGTTCAAGCACGTCTGCGAACCTCTCGGGGTGTTCAGGGACCAGGATCGGCGGAGGGCGCAGGGGGAAGTGAGAGGGGGTGCCTTCTGAGAGGCTTCCTGAGCCCTCTGCGAAGGCAGGGACGGCTTCCCAGAAGGCCAGGGGACTTCTGAGCAGCCTGGCCGCCTCTGGTCCCCTCTCGCTCCCCCCCTGGGCGTGCCGCCGGCAGGAGTTCACCTACGTCTCCAGCACCTTCTGCCAGGGCGGGGACCTCTTCGGGCTCATGGACCGCGACCCGAGCCCGGGGGCAGCCCGCGAAGGGCTGATCCGCCCCGTCATGCGGCAGGTGTTCTCTGCCGTGGGGTGGCTGCACGGCCACGGGGTGGCCCACTGCGACATCTCGCTGGAGAACATCCTGCTGGGCGGGGAGGACGAGAGCGAGGCTCGGCGGCGCGCCTTAGGGGGGAAGTGAGAGCCTAGGCCCCCCCAAGATGGGGCCCGACGGATGGCGTCGGATGATCGCGCCAAATCGCCGATGCATCGGCGAGGCGGCTCGATGTGGAGCACGATTTTCTTCACGCCGACGGCGCCGGTGCATCGCTGACGTCGCCAGAGCATCGCCAGTGCATCGCCGATGCAGCAATGATGCGGCGCGATCCTCCGTCCCCATCTGCTCCGACCCCACCTAATTACGAGGCCTCTAGCGAGCAGGCAGGCCTCCTCAGATGGTGGCGGGGCTTCTCGGCAGCCCTCGCGCCTTCTGAGAAGTCGTCTGAGCCATCTCCGAAGACAGACAGGGACGGACGCTCAGAAGCTGCGAGAGCCTTGCCCCGCCGCCTCTGAGAAGGCCTGCCCCCACTCTGACTTACCCCCCGGGATCGCCACCAAGAGGTGAAGCTGATAGACTTCGGCATGTCCACCCTCAGCAGGACCTGCAAGGAGGGCTGCGGTAAGCGGTCGTATATCGCGCCCGAGATGCTGGAGGGCCCCTACGACCCCTTCGACGCGGACGCCTTCGCCGTCGGCGTGGTCCTATTCAGCGTGGCCGCTAGGGCATACCCGTGGAACTCGACACGGCCTGGGTCCTGCAAGTTGTTCGACTACATTTCTAGGCACGGCCTCCAGAACTTCATCGAGAGGCGGAAGGTTCTAGGCATCCCAACCGGGGTCGAAGTAGATAGGGGTCGGCGGACCGCGCCGCATCGCCGATGCATCGGCGATGCGTCTCGATATGAAAGCTTGTTGTCTCCACGCTTGAATCGCCGATGCATCGCCGACGTCGTCGATGCATCGGCGATGACACAGGTGATGCGGCGCGATCCTCCGACCCCATGCGCTCGGACCCCGTGTTGGGGGGCCTCCACAGGTGTGGAAGGGCAGCGGCGAGACGTTGTCGCAGGTCTTCAGCGAGCCGCTCGTGGGCCTCGCCGCGGGTCTGCTCAGCATGGAGCCCGCGGGCCGGACGGCGATCTGCGTGGAGTGCTACCCGGAAGAAGCCAGCCGCCCGAGCGTTTGGGATGCCGAGTGGCTTCGGATGCCGAGTGTCTGATGTGCCGGAGTACCCATCCAACTCCATCCACCTCCCCCCTCCTTTCTGCTCGCTCCTCCTCAGATGCTCGTCGATTGCCACAGCATGCTCGCCATCGACTGCAGTTGGGCCGAGGCGTTACTCGCTCGACCAAGGCACATTGCAAGGTTCTGAAGTCAGGCGGAGGGTGACGTGTTGAAGGGGGCAGGCGGAGTTGCAGGGCTGTGCGTTCAAATTTAACTTTCCTTGCTGAGCAGTCTGCTCGCCATCGTCGAGATTGGTTGGAGACAGACAGTCCCGACCCGAGCGCTGCAACTCTTTAGTGGAGCGTTGGTCTGGACAACCGACAGGGGAGTGCAGTGGGAAGCTGTCGGGGTCCAGCTGCTCAAACCTTTCGTCACTCAGCAGTTTGCTCGCCATCATTAAGATAGGTTGGAGGCAGATAGTTCCGACCCGGGCGCTGCAATTTTTTAGTCGAGCGTTGGCGTGAACAACCGACAAGGGAGAGCGTAGTGGGAAGGTGTCAGGGTCCAGATCTTCAAAATACAAGATGTATACCGTTCTGTTTAGGTCCGAATCTGACGATCGAGTCTGACGGTGCTAGGGCAGCAATGCCAACACGCTTTCTTCTCTATCGACGAATTTTTCGGTATACCGCCACTTGACGGTAGCCACGGCTTTCCGTACACTGTACTTTTACATTCCGTTTTTTCCAGCCTATTGAGCCTCCAGCGGGAGCCATGGCTAGATTTTCGGGTACGCGCGATTGTGTCCGGCGAAGAAGCCTTTGTGGGTTGCCGGACGACTCCGCTCGGAATGCATGCTTGAATCTGCAAGTTGCGTCTTTAAGGTTACAAAAGTACACGCGCATCACGCTTGGAATATGATTTAATCGCTTCGCTCATTCCGCAGGCCCTGGAGCGCTGTTTTGGGCCTCTTGGGGCCATCTTGGGGGCTTCTTGGGGGCTTCTTGGGAGCGTCTTGGGGCTCCTTGGCGGCGTATTGGGCTCCCCTGGGGCCTCTTGGGGAGCTCTTGGGGGCCCCTAGGGGCGGGAGGCTGAGGGGGGGTAGTCGATTGCAGCCCCCCCCTCGGAGGCCACGATCCTCGTGAGGGGTGGCGAAAAATAGCCTCCCCCCTGGGATCGCCCGGGACCCGGCCGGGGGTCAGCCGGGGTACTTTTCGGCTGGGGCCCCCTAGGGGCCGCCCCGCGCGCGCGAACTAGAAATATGGTCAAGTAGTTACCCGAGATCTTAGCACGCCTCTGGCCCGTTGGGCCGGCGAATTTGGTGTCATACGCCTGGAGACGCTGCACGTCTCCAGGAGTCTGGCATCTCGACGACGGCCCGCCGTGCTGCGGTCCGCGTTGCGAGGAGAGCGCAGTTGCTTTGGGACCCTGCCTAGAAGATCGACAACCCCAGTTTCAGATGGCGAACATCTGTTTCGGATGCAAGATAAAGACTGGCTCCTGGGGGAGAGCATCCAGAACAGACGTCGGGTCTGCATCTGGAAGGATTTGATCCTCTTGGTACGTGGCGAGCTCCGGGCAGGGCGTCGTCTTTGGCGCGCCTCGCCCTCGGCGGGGAGTTCCTCCTCCTCCTCCTGCTGCTCCTTCTCCTCCTCTTTCTCCTCCTCCTCTTCCTCCTCGATCCTCCTCCTCCTCCTCGATCCTCCTCCTCCTCCTCCTCCTCGATCTTCCTCCTCCTCCTCCTCCCGGCGGCGGGGCGGCGGGAGGGGCGGCGGAGAAATCACCTCTTTGTTGATTCGGGAATTCCAGAGTCGGCCATCTGAGGACAAGTCAGTGGCAGCGTTCGACGGCGTCGGAGGTCTGGGGGCACGGTCTGCAGGAGAGCATGAGGGAATCCCAGGACGGGGGCAGATGAGGTGTAGAGAGTGGCCATTCGCGCGGTCAAGTCTTGAAGATTCCTCTCGTTTGTTTGCGCGTGCGAGCGTCTCCTCCTCTTTCCTCTCATCTCGCCTTTCAGCTTGTCCGCAACGTCTTCTGGTAGCTTTGCCTCGTCGTCATCCAGGGGCCGCATCGGCACCAGCCACGCATACTTTTCTACTATCGTGTGCGTCGGCCCCCACAGGGCGACGCGCGCGCTGGAAAATCTGATCGTCGAAACCCCGTTGCGGGCGGTTTTTGCCCATACCGCTCGGGAACCGACATGCCATACAGTCGGGGTCCTGAAGAAGGAACCCTTTCCGTTGGGGAGGGGTTCCACGTTCTTTAAGTGTTTCGCCGCTTGCCTCAGGTGTTCCTTATGTGTTCGATCGGAAATCGAAGTTTAACTTATGGAGAGAAGGGGCCTCGTTCCTTATTTTGGGTTCCTTAGGTCAAGGCCCCGACTGTACGATTTATGTAATGTTCGTCGGCCGCGTCCTTCGCTTCTCCCCCTCCCTCCTGCGCGGTGACACACCTCGCGTCCACGGTATCCTTGCTTAGGCCTTCCCGCTGGCGCAGACGACCCCTGCCTCTCGCCGCCGACGCAAAACAAGTGGATTTATATCCAGGAGGAGAAGAAGCACACAGACACAATGAATCGTCGATTTCCAGGAACATATGGGAAAATGTGGGAAGTGGGGGGGGAAGACGAAAACCCCGAAAATATAGGAATATATATGTATATATATATATATATATATATCTATATCTATACATATATATATATGTATACATATATATATATATATATATATATATATCAGGAGCGCGGTTATCTGTGTCTACACGTTTGTGTGTGTCCCAGGGCCCCTTTATGTATGTTCGTGCCGGACGTGCGCCTAAAATATCAGCGCATTGTTGTGTGCCGTCCTGCGTCCCAGCGCCAGTCGGTGGCCACGGCGTCATCCGCCCGGCCTCGGCGACGCCCAGCCGCTCGTCCGCAGCAGTGGCCGGTGGCTCGCTCTCCAAGCCCTCGTGGCTCCATGGCGCCGCCTGCGAGCCCAGGCAGCGCACGGCGCGCCTCGACGATTCGGGCAGCTCGATGGGCGGCGGCGGGGTCACGGTTCGGAGTTCGTCGAGCACGTGGCGAGATCCGACACGTGGGAGGGGGGGTAGGGTTCGGACGCCGCCACCTGTAGCTGCACCCGGTTGCCGAGCCCCCTCTTGCACCATGGGGTGCCCGAGCCTCGGTCGGTTCGGCTGCGTCTGAGTCGGCTGCATTCTGTCGGTCCAGTCCGGTCGTTGCCGTGTCGTTGTCGCGTCGTTGCGCGCCCTTCCAGGTCGACTTCTGCCCGTCGATGTCGCTGTCGCTGCCGTTTCGGCGAGTTTTCGCTTGTGCTGCCGCCGTGGACGGCCGTGTGCACCCCCTTTGAAAAGGCAGCTGAGAAAGGGAAGGCAGCGGCGAGGAGGATAAGGTAGTTATATGATCAGGCTGAGCAGATCCAGCATCGTTTACTGATCCCTATCCCCATCCCAATGTCGATGCCCACCATCCCACCACCCCAGTTGGGAATGTGATGCCCCTGGAAACTCGACGGGAACAGCATGCATCCCCATCTAGTGGGGTAGATCGGCCAGTGGGCCCCAGGCCACGCCGGTGGGGATAGGGATCGGTTATACGATGCTCACAGACTTCTAATCTTGGCAGGTTCGTGCCGAGTCAACGGCACGGCGACCCCGGCGTGGACGAGCGCCGCCAGTGGCGCAGAAACTGGCCAACATCAAAGAGGTCCCATCCATCGGGAAGCTGCGATCCATCCAGACCGAGCGCCCAGGTTCCGGCAGAAGCAGACTGCGACTGGAAAAAGCAGCGCGGGGCGCGGCGATATCGGGTGCAGCACGCCCGACCTGCGCGCCCACAGCAGGGACGGGGCCCGGGTGTGGCACGTCTGGCGGGCGTCATGCCCCTTCCCCTGCCGACCCCCCCGACTGGAGGCCCTGCGGTTCGCGTTCATCGAGACGCAGAACATGCTGGAGGAGCTGTCTCAAGCAGGCATGCCCCCCAGACTTCTCCTGCCCGGCTCTCCGACGGTCTGATTCTGTTCCGTCCGGGCGTCCTTCCTCGATCCAGGCCTCCAGGGGCCGTCGTTGGGCCCCGGGGCCATGAACAGCGTACCTCGGGTGAAAAACTGGCCCAGGGGAAGGGGTCGGGACCTCTGGGGCCGCACATCGACACAACTTTTGATCTGCGGGCCGAGAGCGAACCTCTACCGGTAAGAGCTAAGAGGGCTGCGCAAAGTACCGATTGAGGAGACAGGGCGCAGGAAGGCCAGCACATCGAAACAAGCAGCTCGGCGGATGCCGCGGTCTGTCGGCGCCCACGCTTTTTGGGGATCACCGCCGGACCCGCCGGCACCCCGGGGCCCCGAGGCCGCCTCAGCCGACAGCGTCCTGATCCTGGCCCCGTCTCTGTTGCGGTGTGCCGCAGCGGCGCGCATGCCTCGAAGAGGGGGTCGACTACAGAGCCGATTTGCCCCATGATTGGCTCGACCGTAGCAACAGCGAAGCATGCGTAGCATGTTCAGGAGATCTACTGCACTTTCTATGCGACTGTCGTTGGTCTGACGGGAGAGCCGATTCTGGAGTGAAGCAATTCTGTAGTCGAGCACCTATTCGACTGCCCAATGCACAGCGGCAGGCAAGCTGGTCAGGCCTCCTGGGCCAAGGACTCGATCCGCCTGCGCTGCCGCGCGCATCCGCCCCGTGCCATCACGGGCACCACGCCGACGGGCAGCGCCGACTATGTAAGAGTGAGGGGGCCAGACGGTCATTCATTGTCCCTGGATGCGTGGATGAAATGGGGATCTGTGGTGAGGGTTCTGCTTGTTGCATTGTCGTTGTTGTTGCTGCTGTCGGTGTTGTGGTTGTTGTTGCTGTTGTTGGTGGTGATGTTGGTGTTGTTCCCTACCTAGGCACTGCCTAGAGGGTTCTTACCCTATATCTTAAAGGGCAGGGCAGTGGAACACGCCCCGGGCGGTGTCCCCGGCATCCGCCCCGCGGTTCCCCCCGTTACGTCTCCTTAGCTTAGCGTTGCTTATCTCAGCTTAGCTTAGCCTAGCTTAACTTAGTTTAGCTTAGCTTAGCCTAGCCTAGCTTAGCTTAGCTTGGCTTAGCTTAGCTTAGCCTAGCCTAGCTTAGCTTAGCCCAGCTTAGCGCAGCGCAGCGCAGCATTAGCATAGCATAGCATAGCCTATCATAGCATAGCATATCACAGCATAGCACATCATAGCATAGCACAGCATAGCGCAGCATAGCATAGCGCAGCGTAGCATAGCACATCATAGCATAGCGCAGCATAACATAGCATATCATAGCTTTACACAGCGCATCATAGCATAGCATATCACAGCATTTCATAGCATAGCGCAGCATAGCATAGCAGAGCAGAGCAGAGCATATCATAGCATATCATAGCATAGCGCAGCACAGCATCCACTATTGCTGCTGCTGCTGCTGCTGCTGCTGCTGCTGCTACTACTACTACTACTACTACTACTACTACTACTACTGCCGCTACTGCTGCAACTACGACGATGAGGAGAACTTGGAGGACGGCGTTTTCCGCTCCTACTAATGTTGCTTTCCTAGAGGCTCCAACTCCTAGGTAGGGTCGCATTGTGATAATTACTGTTGTTGGTGTTGTAATTGGTGTTGTTGTTGTTATTGTTGTTATTGTTGTTGTTGTTGTTGTTGTTGTTGTTGTTGTTGTTGTTGTTGTTGTTGTTGTTGTTGTTGTTGTTGTTGTTTGTGTTGTTGCTGTTGTGGTTGTTGTTGCTGGTGTTGATGATGTTGTTGTTGGGTGGTGTTGTTGTTGCTGTTGTTGTTGGTGTTGTTGTTGTTGTGTTTCTTATTGTTGTTGTTGTTGTCGTCCCACCCGCGACCCACCCGCGACCCACCCCGCGACCCACCCTGCGACCCACCCCGCGACCCACCCCGCGACCCACCCGCCACCCCGCGACCCACCCGCCACCCACCTGCCACCCACCCGCGACCCAACCGCCACCCATTTGCGACCCACTCGCGACTCGCCCGCGACCTACCCACATTGGCTTAACGAAAACATCGGCGCGTGCGGCGGGCTCGTTGTATAACTTGTGAAACCTCGGCGCCTGCGGCGGGCTTCTCCGGAGTCTCGCAAACGGCCGACGTCCCCACCGCCCCCTCGCTCTTTTTCCGCATCTGCGGGATGCTAAGTATTTCCAGCCCGTCTCCTGAGTTCGCCACTGGCCCAAGCCTCGCGCGGGCCCGAACTCTGATCGGCACGGGCGGGCACGGCGCCACGCGGGCTTTTCCGACGCTGGGGCCCGCTGGCCGCTCCGCGGCGCGAGGTCGGGATGAGCACGGCGTGCATCGCCGCGTTCTCCTCCTCCTCCTCCTCCTCCTCCTCCTCCTCCTCCTCCTCCTCCTCCTCCTCCTCCCTCCTCCTCCTCCTCCCCCTCTCCCTCCTCCCCTCCACCCCCTCCTCCTCCCCTCCTCCTCCTCCTCCTCCTCCTTCTCCTCCCCCTCCTCCTCCTCCTCCTCCTCCTTCTCCTCCTCCTCCTCCTCCTCCTCCTCCCTTCCTCCTCCTCCCCCTCCTCCTCCTCCTCCTCCTCCTCCTCCTTTTCCTCCTCCTCCTCCTCCTCCTCTTCCTCCTCCTCCTCCTCCTCCTCCTCCTCCTCCTCCTCCTCCTCCTCCTACCCCCCCCTCCCCCTCCTCCGCCCCCTCCTCCCCCTTCTCCTCCTCCGAAGCCATTTTGGCTCAAGATGGCACCCCATCGCGAACGCAGCGGGGATACCGCTAGTCCGCGGCCAGTCCCAACTGTTTCGCGGCCGCACCTAGGGACGAGTTGCTGTCCACTCCTGCGCTCCATCCCGGCGTTGCAGGCCGCCTATCATTTTGCTGTGTGTCTCGTGCGGAGCATCCAGTCCGTCTCGAGCCCAGTACCCGGCATCCATATTTCCGCGTCGTACGCGGTGCCGTGCTCCCATGTCGAGCCATCGTGTGTTGCTCCGACCCAGCCAACGCGAGTCAGTCAAGTACGCAGTGGTCCTGCAGTGCACCTGGCCAGTGGCGAATCGTTGAACAGCACCTCGATATCCGTTGTCAATACTACAACATCATGCCCGCCGTTTCCTTGGACAGGGGCGACCAATCCAACGGCTCCACGTCCCACAGACGCCGAGAGGACCGTCACCAACGAATGGAAGATTCTCGCCGCGACGAACGACGTCACAACGACCGCCAGCATCGACGGGAAGAACCCCGTAGAGATGGCCGACGCGCTGCTCGCGAACTCCTGGAACACCGTGGCAACACAGGGTTCATCGGTCAAGGCCCCGCAGGTGCTCCTCAGCAGCAACCCCGTGCAGCAAGTCGAGGCTCCGTTCACCATCCGCCGAAACCAGCACGCAGGTCAGCCAGATCAGGAGGAAGTGCTGCGCCCGCAGCCCCCGCCGCGGCCATGGAAGAGAGCGAGAAGCCACCACATGGTCGTGCTATTCATGATTCCCTTCAGGGCGACGCTGACCCATGGGCCAACGGCAAGTACATCGAGCAGCAGCTGGGGCCCGCAGCCGCCGAACAACTCGCCCGTGGTTTCGAAATTGTTCCTACCATTGCTTCCAAACCTGCAGCTGCACCAGCCACTCCAGTCACTGGACACGCTTCTCCTGGATCACAACACGAACCACATCATGCACATCAAGAACGGCATGGACCTCTACCCGGGATACCCGAAGGCCTCGATGTCGCTCTTCGGGAACTCATGCGTCGACAAGTTGCCACTGGCGCCTCCCGATTTCAAGAACAATTTGACCAGCTCCTTGCTGAATCTCGTGAAAGTTCCCGCCTTTTCGTTCAAGAAGCAGGTACCGTTGCTGAACGCCGAGTGGATGTACCCCATGTCGAAGCCGCTCGCACCCGCAGAGAAAAATTCCGCCAAACGTCAGAGTATCAGCGAATGTGGCAACACATCGACCAGATGCGCGACACTCTTGCCCTCGCAGGAGCTCAGACTCTGATCGCAGACCTCGACCGTATTGCTGATTGGCGCCGTCAGCCTGATCCGACGCTTTTTCGTCGCGGGCTGCCAGTGCCCCTTGGTTCCGAATGTGGTGCTCAACGACCTCCAGGAATGAATTGCAGAAGCCGGCCTCCGGACTAAGCATGTGGAACTATTCGGAGATGGCGAACCTGCCCTCCGCTTCGTTCTACAAGTCTAAGGAGACAGTGCTGTCGCAGTACCCCGCGCGCTGGCCCTCTCGCGCGCAATGCGCAATGCAGCTGGCCAATGGAAGCGGCCCATCTCGACCGACACAACAGGCCAGCCAGTTGACATCTACATCAACCCCGACAAGCCCCCCAAGCAGATCAGAACAGAAGTCCAGACCAAGAAGGTCCTTCAGCTATTGCAGCAGCGCTGCCCTCGTCAGCGGTGGGGACCTTTCCGCGACAAGGGAGGGATCCGCTGCGACTCCATGCCCATCGCCAAAATCACTATCCGTGGCCAGGCAGACCCCGTCCGTCCTCCAGTGGAACGAGAGGGCCTTTGACAATCCGCAGTGCCAGTCCATCGACCGAGGCAACATCCCCACCTCCTTGCAGGCGCACTTTGCCGACACGGAGGCAGCTACCTGGCGCGCACAACCCGCGACCAGTACCACGTCCGCGACCTGAGCGACCCCGGCTTTGCCCTCCCGCTGAAGGGCGATAACGCGCAGGGCGACCTCACCAACTACAGTGCGCTCACCCGCTCTCGCTGGAGAAAATGGATATCAGAGCCATCGCAGGTGCCGCTACCTGTTGGTCAAGAGCGCTGTGACAAAGCGTGCGCACATTACCCAGCAGGGCTTCACCCAGGGATGTAACGCCCCCAAGCTCATCGACTGTTGCGACGCCGTGAAGTACCGCGGTGGATCGCTGCCAGTCGCTACCGACACCAAGCTCGCCACCACCAGCGTTGGCTTATCGGGCAACATGAACCTCTTCCACGCCGTGCACTTCGCACCAGCCAGT